GGTGTCCCCGGGTGAGGCGGTGTCCCTGGGTGAGGTGTCCCCGGGTGAGGAGGTGTCCCTGGGTGAGGCGGTGTCCCCGGGTGAGGAGGTGTCCCCGGGTGAGTAGGTGTCCCCGGGTGAGGAGGTGTCCCTGGGTGAGGCGGTGTCCCTGTAACTCAGTCCACACGGTGCCGCGCGACAGTGTGAACGGCTGGAAGCCTCCGTGGGGCTTCACTATATTTCTCTTCTTGGGCCCCTCAACTTGTCCAGCCAGTTGGCAGCGTTGTTAGACAGCTTTCTGTCCCGGTCCTTCACCCCTCCTCCAGCTCCCTCCGGTAGCGGCTCTGCCTCCCCGATGACCACAGAACTTGATCTGTTGCTGTTAGGTGCCATCGAGTCCGTGCCCCTCTCAGCAGCCCTGTGCTCACAGATGAAAACACTGCCTGGCCCCGCCGCCTCTGCATGCCCGGTGCTCTCCGAGCCCCTTGTTCCAGAGGGCACGTACCGTCTAGGATTATACCAGACAGTGTCCCACCCCCATTCAGAAGGTGGCCCTTGGTCACTGGGGATGCTTTGCTTAGTTGGAAGATCTGTTGAGACCTGTCCACCATGAGGTGACCCTGCTGCTACTTGAATCACTGTCGGCAAAGCTTCCAGCATCAAAGGACACACAGCAAACTGACAGACGAGTGGCGGGTCTGATTGACGGGGCCGGCTAATTTCCGTGTTCTCTCTTGTAATCAGGAGCTTCTGTTTCTAAGCCAGATGTGATCTCACTCCTGGAGCAAGGAAAAGAGCCCTGGGTGGTGAAAGAGGAGAGAGGCACCCGCCGTGGTAAGTGGGAGAGAACCGGGCAGGCTGAAAGCACTGCTTGTGAAAACCCAGCTCTTCGCAAAGGTTCACACTGTTGTCTCCTGGGAGGCTTTGCTCCTCCAGTGCCCAGAGCCTGGAGGAAACCTTGACGCGCCTTTTGATTGAGCCTCCACTCCCAACTTGGGTAGCCTCTCTCGTGATGTACTCACTTCCCCAAGAGCCGTGTTCCCGTTCTCTCCATCCAAGTCTGTCCTTCTCCTTGGCTTTGTTGTTCTCGCTTGTTCCTTTAAGTCTCCTCAAAATCCACATCCTGCAGTGCTTTCCCCGCATCCTTTCCTTTTCCCAGTCACCCCTTCCCTTCAGATTTACTGATGAATCGACTGACTGATGGCTAGACGGGTTGCCTTCCTGTTGGGGGCCGACTGATTGTTTTAACTGCCGGCTGAAACCGACCTGCGGGTTCATACGTGTTCTAGAGTGGATTCTGTGTGGATTAAAAGAGGAGCAGGGACACGAGAGATTGGCACAAGACAAAGATTCCTGATCAAGCCCAAATTTATTCCATGAATTCTGCTACAGATAGGCAGCGGAGTAGGCCGGGCTGCCAGGGAACCCAGCCCTAGGTTAGCAGTTTACAATAGAGAGGGAGGGCCATGCCCCAAGGTGTTGCTTTACAGGTGCTGATTTAAGAGGTGGGCATAGTCCCAGAGATGGACAGGGGCGGCGGCTGCGTGTACTCAGGATGGCGTCCTACAGATTGTGTCCGTGACTGGTGCTAGTTCTACATTATCTGGAGCTTGTCTGGGACCTAGTTCGGTTTTGCTACACAGGCTCCTTCCTGCAGTTCAGAGACACTGAGTTTTTCAGATGAGAAGTTTGTGGCCGCCCTTGAACAGAGTCTCTCGGCACCATTTTCCAGCAGCTGCTCGCTTGTCTCTGTTACATTTTGGTAATTCTCACAGGAGTTCACACCTTTTCATCATGCTGCTGCACACGTCATAAAAGACCGAAGTTCTCATCTGCTCTCACTCCTGGCATCCGAGTCCCAGCTGGCCGTAGCTGGCCCTACGGTGTGTTTGCAGAGGCTGTAAACTCCGGGGAGGAGATGGCCCATCGTTTGCCCTCGGAGCAGATGGTGGATTCCAGCCACATGCCTTTGGGGTGGTGTTGCACCTCCTTACCCCTGAGCCACCTGAACTCCCTTGTTATAGACTCAGAAATTCAGGGGACCTGCTTTATTCTGATGTTCTTAATTGCAGTGGTCTGGAACGGAACCCAAAGTGTTTCTACGCTGTGCCTTTATCATCTCTATTCTGAGTGTTACTTTGCAATTATGTTATGAAAGGGTTTGATTACCATCCATTTGTTTGTTTCGACCCGTTCGTTTTTCTTTAACAACTGTTGAGAAACACTTGTGCGCACCATAAACTAATTCTTCAACACTGTACCCTGTAAGGAGCGACGGTGTGTGTGGAGGGACCAAATAAATCCCGCAAACCCCTCGGGTAGAATCCTGTGCGAGCAGAAGAGCAGTCAGTGCAGTGTTCTTTCAGGGGAACCGTGTTTGCGTGCCTGGCTGCTAAAGGAAGTTACTGGTGCAGGCTCACCAGCTTCTCCAGGGGAGGAGGTGGCAGCCCACCTCTACAAAGATGGCAGACTTAGAAACCCCGTGGAGTGAATGCACTCTGTCCTACAGGGTCCAGTCACTGCCATGGAGCCACTTCATGGCCCGTCACACAACAGTAACAGTGTTGTTCTTAAGGTGGGGCTACAGTGAACCGTGTGTCACCACACTTAGATAAGGAAGACAGTGAAAAAAATTCTTTCCTTCACAATGACAGAGTTTTCCCTTTTCTCTTCAAAGAGAACAGCGAACTGGGCGGGAGGTTGGGCAGGGAGAAAAGTGAATTTCCATTCCCATGAATGAATGGAAATCCATAGTCTCTATAAACTTCATTAAAAGTAATTAAAAAAAATTTTAAAAAAGAGTAAGAGACGATACAGCCTGACAGGGCCAGAGCACTGCACACTGTAGGTTTTTGCAGAGCATGGTAATCTGGATGTTTCAAGTGTAGTGAGAAACTACAGGAAATTCTAAAGCTGAGGACTGATCTGACTTGGTACTGGAGAACAGAAGACAGCCCTATGTTAGAATAACAAAAATAAATAAAGTCTTTTCATGACAGGTATCCTGGGCTCAGGGATCAACTGAACATTTACAATTGGTCGGAATGCATTAAGCAGGAAAGGAGGGATTTTTAGGAAGACTGTTTTCTGGCTGCAAAACGTGAGCCATGGAGTTTCCCGGACAGTCTAAGGCAGTTAACGCACCTGGAATGCCTTTGGGTCTGGGAGTCCCATGGAGAATCCTGACACTAAGAAATCGGTATTTGAAAAGCCTCTTTGAGTGCAGAGGTAAGACAGGGTGTTGGAAACTGTTAACTTGCTTGTTGCCAGGTGCCTCGAGTCGACTGTGACTCACAGCGACCTGGAGAGAGCAGATCTGCACCTTGTCCTGCCATCCCCGTGGTGTCGGAGAAGCTTCATTCAGCCCACTGTTAGTCACTCTGTCAGTCCGTCCCGGTGACGGGCTTCCTCTCTTTAACGTAGATGAGGGTGTGATTGCACATGACTGCATGGGTTCATTCTCATTTCTCATTCTTTATACTCTCATACTTTGTATTGTATTTAAAAACTGTCAACCCTTCAACTCACACATCTAATTGACTGAGTTCTGTGTGTTTTTTGTAACTTTTAGGTTGGAAATGTGTATTTGGAAACCGTGAATTTTCTTCCAAGCAAGTGACTTACGAAGAATCGTCCAAACCGGTGACAGCAGGGAGGAGCCCCCTCAGGTACGGCCTTGATGGCCTCCGCGTGCGAGAAGACTGTAAAAGCGAGAGCTGCTGTAAAAGCAAGGGTGAACCTCACAGAGCACGTGCCCGCCGACTGACCATCTCTCGGGAGGAAATCCTCACCGCAGAGCAAAGTCGTGCATACAGGAAATCTTGGCGCACTTCCCGTCAGGATGTCATGCTTAGTGTACAGCACAACATTCCCGTCAAAGAGCGAGCGCAGAATCATTGGCCACAAAAGAAAAGCTCCCGGAAGAACTCTGTTGAGAGGACACAAAACAAAGTGTGCGTGGAAAAGAAGATTTTGAAGTGCAGCGAATGTGAGAAAGTCTTCCACCAGACCTCATCCCTTACTCTGCACCAGCGGATTCACACTGGGGAGAAGCCCTACGCCTGCGCGGAGTGCGGGAAGGCTTTTAGCCAGAGTGCAAACCTCACCCAGCATAAGAGAATCCACACCGGGGAGAAGCCCTACGAGTGCAAGGAGTGCCGGAAGGCCTTCAGTCAGAACGCCCATCTCGCTCAGCACCAGCGCGTCCACACCGGAGAGAAGCCTTACCAGTGCAGAGACTGCCACAAGGCCTTCAGCCAGATCGCGCACCTGACCCAGCACCAGAGGGTCCACACGGGAGAGAGGCCTTTCGAATGCAGCGAGTGTGGGAAGGCCTTCAGCAATGCCTCGTTTCTAGCTCAGCACCAGAGGATCCACACCGGAGAGAAACCGTACGCGTGCACCATGTGCGGGAAAGCGTTCAGCCACCGCGGGTACCTGATAGTGCACCGGAGAATTCACACCGGAGAGAGACCCTATGAGTGTCAGGAATGCAGGAAGGCCTTCAGCCAGTACGCACACCTGGCCCAGCACCAGAGGGTGCACACCGGGGAGAAGCCGTACGAGTGTAAAGTGTGCAGGAAAGCCTTCAGCCAGGTGGCGTACCTTGATCAGCATCAGAGGGTCCACACAGGAGAGAAGCCTTACGAGTGTGTGCACTGTGCCAAGACCTTCAGCAACAGCTCGTCACTCGCCCAGCATCAGAGGAGCCACACCGGGGAAAAGCCCTACACGTGCCAGGAGTGTAGAAAGACCTTCAGCCAGAACGCGGGCCTCGCTCAGCACCAGCGCATCCACACGGGAGAAAAGCCTTATGAGTGCGACATCTGCGGGAAAGCCTTTAGCTACAGCGGGTCTCTCACCCTCCACCAGAGGATTCACACCGGGGAGAAGCCCTTCGAGTGCAGGGACTGCAGGAAGTCTTTCCGGCAGCGGGCACACCTCGCCCACCACGAGAGAATTCACACGGCGGAGGCCTCATTGACTCTCTCCTCACCTTCACCCTCCGCAGCCAGCTAACTGCCAGCACCCGGAGGGTTTCCCTCCTAATTAGATCTGCCGCAGAGGGTCCCTTTACTGCATTTCTCATTCCTTCATCCGTATCGGAGATACAGTCTATTTGAAGAGGACTGTGGAAATAAGTTTTCTAATTGGTTTGCCTGTATCCACCTGTCTCCTTCAATTGTCTCTATTGCAGCCAAGCTTCTTTTTTTTTTTTAATTTAGGTTGTTTATTTTTCATTTCAATGAGCTTTTTTTTTTTAAAAAAAAAACAAATTTAGTAATTTCTCCCTTGCTGAAACTCTTCAGTGGTATCCTACAGTTCTTAGGTTAAGAGCACATAATCCTCCAAATAGCCTAAAAGATGGGTCCATCCCCACTCCATATCTTGTTCCAATCTACTTTCCAAAGTTTCCTATCAGGCCAATATCGGATTAAGTTGTTCTTAATCCTGATTGAACAAAAAAAAATGTAAAAAAAAATTGCAAAGTTGGATGTAGTATAAAAAAAATCCTGATTGAGGAAGAAGAATGCAACTTCAGCATCAAACAGAGCTGAGTTCTAATCTTTGCTCTTCCATTTTTATCTTATTTTGAGGATGATCTTTGCTAACCGTCAGTCTTATTTATATTCTAGTAAGAATATGGTACTACCTCAAAAGTTGAAGGACTTACTAAGAGAATGCATGTAAATGGTAAACGGCTCAGCAGAGTGCCTCATGTGAAATAACAATAAATGCTGATAACAGAAGATAGCTTTGGTGTCTAAGGTGAGCTGATCAACCTTAATCACCTGAGAAATGTGCATCTCGGGACTGGGAGATGGTAAGAGTTCCTGTTTAGGAACAGTGGGCACGGTTCTAAAGGTGGGTGGTGAAGTTAGGTTACACTGTAGGAGTGACGTGAGATTCTGTGATGGTGCACCTACTTCTCAGGGAGCTCTGATGGCTTTAGTGGGAAGGAGCTGCACTGTCAGCCCAGAGGCATGCGGTTTGAATCCATCAGCTGCTCCATGAGAGAAAGACACGGCCTCTCTGGTGTGATTTAAAGGCCTTGGAGGGTGAGCTGTGAATCTGTTCAAACCCAACAACAGCACGTAACATCCACAGTTAAGGTTATCTTGTCTGACATTTCACACAGTAAAATCCTAGCCAGGTGCTTTCCTCCCCCATCACTCACGAGTGGCAGCTCGTGACGAGTGACACTGGCTGTGACGGTTAACAGGCTGGCTGGACCTTAATGCTCAACCGTATAGCAGCTAGGGAGTGTTTGTCCTTTTCTGAGTAACTGATTTTCACCACAACCTGGTCTTTGGACGTTAACAATGTTGAGAAACGACCCGTGTGTACATAGGGTAAAAGGGTGTTTTCGCATTAGTTCAGCATGAACAGCGATATGATTCTGTGGGAATGAAAAAAGTGGCTTCAGTAGATGCTCAGCCGTTTTAAGAAGTCACTTTTTTAAACTAAACAAGCAGAATTTACCAAGATGTGTCATTTACATTTAAGCAAAAGAAAAACAGAAGTTTAAAAAAAACAACAACCCCACACCTTGAAAAGATAATAACCAAAGGATAGAGAATTTAAGTGTTAAACTTTCCTAGTTCCAACTGGAATTAGGCTATGGCATAAGATTTAGGACATTTAAACTAAAAAAAAACATTATGCTTCTAAATAGTAATTCTGAAAGAGGAAAGCAAAGCTATGGGTTGGTACTCATAAATAGGCTCTCCTGAGATGTGTGTGGTTTGCTGTGCATTATGTTTAAAATTAGTATTTTTTTTTTACCTTCAGGAGGGCACTGTGTCCCTCAGTTCTCAATCCCAACCACTCACTCTTTGACCAGCTTTAATAAACCCTGGTATTTTAAGACTGTGTGTATGGTCAATGCAGCAAGTGATTAATGTGAAGGGAGTTAGTTACAAAGAGTGGTGGAAGTTCGGTGAAGGGTCAAGTGGAAGACCAGAATAAGTGGATAATATATTCTTGAGTCCGATGAATCCGCATCAAAGATGCCAGCGCACTCCAGATGTCAGCTCTTCATATAGGGACAAACAACAAAGCTCCAAGAATATGGTTTTAATCAGTCACATGCACACGTACATGTTTTTATGTGTGTTTACACACACGCACCCGTCATCATATAAATACACATGGAAAATACATGATAAAGTTACATTATGTGCGTTTTACACACACGCACCCATCATACAAATACGGAAAATACATGATAAAGTTAACATCAGTAGCTAGCCGTGTTGGGAGAGCTGGCTCCACACAAAAAAACATCATTCTGTCAATAGAAACATTTCCACGTGTTTTATCCAAATATGTAACAAAAATATACGAGGACACGAACTTTTAGAACCATTGCACAAGAGCAACCTTCAGCATAAGATACAGAAGCCACAAAGCAAAAGAAGGTTCATATATTTAAACTCTGTAAGAACTTTCAAAAACGGTTGTACACGAAACACATATAAATATATAAAGAGGCAGAGAGCACATGCCCCGGTGAGGCTCAGCACTGTTAACTGCTAACCCAAAGGTCAGAGGTTCAAATCTCGTGAGGCAGTCTGCTTCCAGGAGAGAAGGGTGGCACGGTGCCCCCATGAGGACTTACAACCTTGAGAAACCCCAACGGGCTGCTGAGCTGGAAGTGATGGCAGTGACTTTTCCACAGCGTACTCAACATGCACAAATAGGGACACCTTAGTGAAGGTGCCCTGGTGTCCCAGTGTTTAAAGCCACGGGCTGGCAAAAAGTCGGTGGTCAAATTCCACAGGTGTTCTGCTGGAGCAAGAAGAGGTGGCATTCTACTTCTGTAATGGTGACGGCCCTAGGGGACTGACCTGCTCTGTCCTCAAGGGCCAGGAACAGCTGGCAAAACTGACGGTTATGATGTTAGGGGCCAGCTTAAGGGGACAAGGACTCAAGCTAGTTTAGAAAGACTGTTCCGGATTCTCCCAAAACTCTAGAGTTGGCCAACTGAGCGCTCCTGTAAGGTAGCACAACAGGGAATGAGGAAAGGAACCACGAAAGCTGAGAAAGCATTAGCTAGACCATCTATGTCTCCATCTCTCAACATCCCCAAACATAAAAAAATAATGTGCGCACACAGTGGGGACCCAGGAAGAGGGAACTCACACACCTCCCTCAAGGCAGCAGCAGGGCATTCTGACTGGAGCAGCTATATGAAAGGCAGTGAAAAAGGGCACTTTTGTGGGAGGAGTTACCCTGAAGGCAGCGGACAGGGCATTTTGATTGAAGTAGCGACAATGAAGGTAGTAGAAAGGGTGTCCTGACTGGACTAATGACACTGAAGGCGGCGCAAAGGGCACTTTGTTGTAGGTGCTGAAGACAGTGGACAGGATGCTTCTAGAGGGGCACCTGCACTGAAGATCGTGGACAAGGGATTTTGATTGAATAATGACACTGAAGGCATTTTGATTGCAGTAGCTATGTCGAAGGCAATACAAAGGGCATTTTTAGTAACTATATTGAAGGCAACAAATGACATTTTGATTGTAGCTATGTTGAAGGCAATAGAAAAGGCATTTTGATTGTAGTAGCTATGTTAAAGGCAAGAGAAAAAAAGGCATTTTGATTGAAGTATCTACATTGAAGGCAACAAACTTTTGATTGAAGTAGGTATGCTGAAGGCAGCAGAAGGGGCGTTCTGATTGCAGTAGTTACATTAAAGGCAGTGGAAAGGGTGCTTGGATGGGAGTAGCTACAAAAAGCGGTGGATGCAGCATTCTGACTGGACAACCACACTATCGGGAGTTTCCCCTCCAATGAGAGTGTGGCAGGGCAAGGGTGCCAAAGAGGCACAAGGAAGCATACTGATTTTGCCAAGATGGCTTTTATCATGTGGCAGAGAGGGAACGATGGCATGCAAGACTACACTAATCTGGTCGTGGACTGGACTGTGCTCCTCCCAAAGACGTCATTTTGGCTGGGTCATGGTTCTGTGGCTTGGCAGTTACATAATCAGCCAATCAAATTGTGAAAAGGGGTTGGGTGGGACACAACACCCTTAATTATTAAGTCACAGCCCTGCCCTGATGTAAAGGGAGTTTACCTGGGGTGCGATTTGTGTTACTTTTCATATTATAAGAGGTAAGAAGTGAGCACAGAGAGAGAGGTGTAGAGTGCCTCCTTTGGGCCAGGGGCCTTTGTGCTGAGAACCTCCTAGACCCAGGGGAAGAATGAGGCCAAGATACAGGGTGACCTCCAAGGAACGCTGGGTTCACAGATGTTGAAAGGAGACCCGGCTATCCTCTACAACAGACAGAAATCCAGACCTGGGACACAGAATCTGGATGACTGGTCTCCTAGTGGCCTTACAGTCTATAGGGATACCACCTTAGGGAGTTATTCAGGCAGCAAAATTGCCCCCTGAGCTCCCAAGCCTGTAAATCTTTACCAAATCCGATGACCACATCATTTTGGAAAGCAGCTGAGGGGCTCAAACCACTAACCTTCTGAGCTCTTTAACGTCCATGTCATCAGGGCTCTATACTACATAAAAAAGCTACCTAAACCCTTGCTACTCAAAGTCTGGTGTACAGACCAGTAGCAGCATTTTCACCTGGGTGTTGGTTCCAATTCCACAATCTTGGCCCTATGATTCTGGACCTGTTGCTTCAATCTCAATTTTCCCAATACCTCAGGTGACCTGAAGACACAGTGGAGTTTGAGACACTCTGGGGTAGAAGGAAACCTCCTGGTCATCTGTACTACAGCCCTTTGAAAGACTCAGATTGGGTGAGTTCCCCTGTTCACAGCATAAATGTCCAGCCTTTTGGAGGCTGCAAGGACTAATGGTAAGACTTGGACTCACGGAATTCACCCTCACCAAAATCAACCCCGACAGACGGAAGTGAAGGACACACGAGCCTCCCGTATTACCCAAGTGGTCATTTCACACTAAACACAATGCAAAGTCCTATATGAAAAAAAAACACACCAGGTCCAATGAGCAGATAACTCTCTGCCCTAAGACCTAAATAGTGGAGGGAAATTCTAAAAAGAGCCACAGTTTCTCAAACGTCAATGTGTATTCAGAGGTACCTGGAGCCGAAGACTAAGAAGCTGGCAGCTCTGGACAAAAAAACTCTGTTGCTGTGGCTTTGGACTCAAAGAAAGCCCATGTATTAGAGAGAAAGGCTTCCTCACTGGAATCTTCATATAAGTAAAGCAACAGGCCTTTTCTTCATAACCACACAAGAGGTACTCACACACAGATTGTTTCCACCACCAGGGATCTTCACACTGGACACACAACACCCAAATCCAAAGTCACTGGTTCTTACAGCAATCCTATGGGTTTTGATGTCCCCACAGGATGTCCCAAGACTAAATACAGAAGACAAGACCAGACCTGTTGCTAAGAGGATGGTGCTAGCTCCCAGTGAACACCCAACTGGGCGTCGGAGGATGTCAATATTTATGGGAGAAGACTGCCCAGCTTTGTCCCGTGGAGAAGCCAGATACCGTGACGCACGACAGCACCTAGTCTTCAGAACAAAACACTGGGCACAGAATCAGGAAAGGCCAGTCCCTTGAGAAGGATGTCACACTTGGAAAAGAGAGAAAGACTATCAGTGACATAGAAGGATACAGTCACTGTAGTCAAGGGCTTCAGAAGTTGCAAGGATAGTGCAAGGCTGGGAAGGATCTCCTGCTGGGTGGTTATGAGTTGGCATTACCTAAGAACAATCTTCACAGAAGTAGAAAGCCACGTACGAGCTGCTGGTGGGTGTGACCCCCCTCAAACTTGTGGTTAGCTGCCAAGTGCTTTAATCACTGGACTCCCAGGGCTCCATGCTGGTTTATAGAATTCCTTTTAAAATCCTTCTTCTCTTGAGACCCGAATTTGGCTAGGAAGGACAATTTGGCAGTCAAAGCCCCAAGCCCATCAAGGTGACTCCAGCTCCCGGTGACCCTACAGAACAGAGTCGGAATACCTGCAGGGTTTCCACCAGGTTGTAACTCTTCGTGAAAGCAGATGGCCCTCAGTTTCTCCTGGAGAAGGTGAGTTCGAATCGCTGACTTTTTGGTTCGCAGCCAAATTCTTTACCCACTGCTCCACCGGGGTTCCTTCAATTTGGTAATAGCTAATAAAATATGTAAAATTTTGATACATTTCCCCCCCTCCAAAAATAGCTGTAAAACTTTTCAAAAGGTAAGTCGTTCTAGTACATGAGGAATGTAAAAGGCAATGAGGTAAGGCTTGATGAAGGTAGGTGTTGTAGGCAGGTCATCCTCTGGCTTCTCCTCAAGGCTTCGGCGGGTGGCCACCATGCTGGAACTAGCCACTCTGGCAGACTGATGCAGACATGAACAAGGGGTGGGGTGTGTGTGTGTGTGTGTGTGTAAGAAATGATGTCTGGCTCCACGAGCTCTGTGCTATCCACTTAGGTACTTCCGACACTGAATAATTTTAGGTCGGTATCACAAACATTTAAATGGGAATTTGTTTGCTTCATTATCCTGTAAATTCTCAGCAGAAGTCCTCCTCAAAGTGTTAAATAGCAAAGATATCAGCTGGAAGGCTTAAGTGTACAAGCCATGATCTTTTCAGTCATCTCATATACATATCAAAGCTGGTTGGTAGAGTACTGACACCTCTGAATTACGTTGTTGGTAAAGAATCTGGAATATACTATGGGTCACCAGGAGGATAAACAAATCTGTCTTGGAAGAAGAATGGTGCTCAGAGCAGGCGTAGTGAGAACGTCTCACATATTTAAGACTTGGAGAGGGTACCATGCTTGGTATCAAGTGGATGGTCAGCAGAAAAGAAGACGACCCTCAATAAAATGAACTGACACAATGGCCACAGCTATAGACTCAAAGATGGCAACCACTGTGAGGAGGTCACAGGACGTGGCAGTATTCTGTGCCACTGTACACACAGTTATTTTCAGTGGAAACTGACTTGGATGGTATCCAGAACCCCTGCATTTTATGCATTCTTACCTGTCACAATTTTGGTGGCTGTTTTCTCAATTGGGATCAAGGTTCGACAGAATATCATCCACATGGGCCTAGAGCCTGCCAAGTTATCTTTACAAAATACAGGTGTATTCAAAATCACCTTGTAGAGAAGGAAAACGATATGAAGATGAGTTCAACTTCATAGACTACTTACAAAACGAGACTGATTGTTTTTAACACATTTTGCACAAGCTACAGAGAGGCACTGAAAGCTATTAAATAGAGTCAACAGCTGAGGGGAAAAGAACCTGGTACACCATTCCAGGGTCTTCTCTATACTCCACCCCAGTGTTCCTACATAAAAACACCAATATATTTATCCATAGAAATATATAGACAATTTACTTTCAAGTAAAACAACAACAAGTAATTTCACCCTGCTTTGGCGTTCCTACTTTTCTGGCACATCTGGTTCTTTCCCAACTGGCCTGCTTCTGCCACGCTGGCCTCTCACACAATGAAGGTTACATACCTTACGAACCATGGACTGTGTCTTCCACGCTGGATTTTCACACTCTGAGGATCACCAACCCTCAGGTCCATGGACTATCTCCTGTCATGTTGGATTTTCACACTATGGAGATCACTCAACACTCAGGTCTGCAACTGGATAGTCATACTAGGAAGACTCCCCTCCCCCCCTAGGTCCCTGAACTCTGTCGTGTTCGATTGTCACACTATGAAGATCATCCACTCTCAGGTCCATTGACGATCTCGTGCTATGTTGGATTTTCATAATAGAAAGATCACATACTCTCAGGTCCCTGAACTGTCTCTTCCAAGGTGGATTCTCACACTACGAAGATCACCCCCGCTCAGACCCACGGATTGCCTCTCCCGTGATGGATTTTCCCAATCATCCACTTCCATAAACAGCTTGCCTCTTGAAACCCTACGAACCTGAAGAAAGGATGAAAGTCTCGCTCGCCAAAGTTGAGAACTTTGGTTCACAGGGTCACTCTGAGTCACCTACGACTCGACGGCGTTTGACGACAACGATCATCACTGACTCTCAGATCCATGGACTGTCTCTGCCAGGCTGGATTTTCACACCATGAAGATCACACCCCCTCTGGTTCATGAACTTCTCTTCCAAGTTGGACTTTTACACTCTGATGATCTCACACTCTCACGTCTTTGGGCAATCTAGACCTGCTGGATTTTTACACTATGACGATGAATCACCCTTCAGGTCTGTGCACTGTCTCTGTCATGTTAAGATTTTTCACATCACGTCCGTGAACTCTTTCTCCCATGGCGGACTTTCCTATTATGAAGATCACTCATGCTCAAGTCCATGAACTGTCTGTTCCACGTGGGTTTCCACATTCTTATGCAGCCATCCACCCTCAAGGACACAGACTGTCTCCAGTCATGTTGGACTTTGACATGATGAAGCCCACACCCCATCAGACTCATAGACAGTCTTGGATTCTCACATTATGAAGATCCGTGAAATGTCTCGTTCACATTGAACTGTCACATGATGAGGGAAGAACATTCATGCTCAGATTCACAGATTGTCTCGGCCACATTAGATTTCCATACCTCGAAGATCACCCCCCCCCTCAGATCCATGAATTCATGAATTACTTCTTCTCTGTTGGATTTTCACACTAAGAAGGTCACACATTTTCAAATCCACTGGGGACACTCTGGTAATGATTTTAATGCTCCACACCATAATGAATGTCATCTTCACCCACCAAAAGACACATCTTTATTCACACCGTTGTGTTTCTGTTAGCTGAAGGTGGCATGCTGGTCTTCCAGGAAATCCCTCCTATTTGAAAGAGTTTTGAGGCACACACCCTACACTCATTCTTCATGTTATCTTAAATAAGGCTCAAAGCTCCAATCACAAAAATAGATTTCACAACTTCACTGTTATGTGTCACCAGAAAAATTTTTCCAAAACACCACGAGACGTAGAACATCACTAAATTATTATTTTTTTAATCAGACGAAGAATGCTTTTACATCACAAGGACTGATGTCATCTTCTGAGCTGGCGTCTGTGAAATTGAAAAGCTGTGACACTTCCACTGATGTCGCGCTGTCAGGTTACAAGTCAGCAACGACACGTATTCTTCGGCTTTCAAAGCGGGAACATTTACCATTCACTGTTTTCCCATGTACAAACTCTGTGTGTTACAGGTGGATATGGTTTCTCCCATGCCGTTGTCCCTTCTCTGACAGCCTCAATCTTCACTTTCACAGATTTTGCACCACCCTAGTCTTCTTCTTCTTCCTTTATTTCTTCCTTTATTTCTACCTTTACTATTTCCTTCTCTTCTTCCTTTTCTTCGGAATGTGTACTCTGGTGGCGAATGAGGGATGAGCTCCGACTGTAGGCTTTCCCACACTTGCTGCATTCGTAGGGCTTCTCAGAAGAATGACTCCGCTGGTGCCGGATGAGGTCCGAGCCACTGCTGAAGGCCTTGCCGCACTCGTTGCACTCGTAAGGCTTTTCGCCGGTGTGACTCCGCTCGTGGAGGATGAGGGACGTGCGCTGGCTGAAGGCCTTCCCGCACGTCTTGCACGTGTACGGTTTCTCGCCGGTGTGGATCCTCTCGTGCTGGGCCAGGTGCGCGCTCTGGCTGAAGGCCTTCCCGCACGTCTTGCACGTGTACGGTTTCTCGCCGGTGTGGATCCTCTCGTGCTGGGCCAGGTGCGCGCTCTGGCTGAAGGCCTTCCCGCACTCATCGCACTCGTAGGGCCTGTCCTCGGTGTGGATTCTCTTGTGGCGCGTGAGGGAGATGCGGTGGCTGAAGGCTTTGCCACACTCCTCGCACTGGTACGGCTTTTCTCCCGTGTGGATCCGCTGATGCTCGATAAGAAAGGACTGGCGGCCGAACACTTTGCTGCACTTACTGCATCTGAACGGCTTGTCTTCAGAATGGATATTCTGGTGGATCTTAAGGTTGGCGAGGCCAGAAAACATCTTCCCGCATTCCTTGCATTCGATGCGCTTCTTTTTCCTCTTGTGGATTTTCTGATGCTGCAGAAGGGACGAGTGCCGATTCCAGACCTTATCACACTTTTTGCACCTGTAGATTTTCTCTCCGCTGTGAGTTCTCAGATGTAGGACAAGGGTTGAGAAGCGCTTGAAGACCTTCTTACATCTTTCACACTTGTAGGGTTTCTTTGCAGCATGAACTCCCTGATGGAGCAGAAGGGATGGGATCTTACTGAAGGATTTCCCGCATTTCCTACAATTGTAGGGCTTCACTGACAAGCGCTTCCGTGGCTGTCGACTCTGACCCAAGCCTTTCTCACCTTGGCAGCCTTTCTCTTTTGTGTGACTTTTTTTATGCTTAACAAGGGCTGATCTCTTCCGGAAACCTTTCCTGCATTTGTGGATTTTCTTTCTGTTGTGGATTTTCTTATGAAGCAAAACGGAGGACATCCGAATGAAGGTTTTCCCACATTTCCTGCACTGGTGGTCCTTCTCAACAAAGGGGGCTTTCTGCAGCACACTGGCAGATGGGCCCTGACTCGAGGCACTGCCAGCATCAGAGACACTGCCAACATCAGAGGCACTGCCAGCATCAGAAGCCTCCTTTCCACCGTGAGTTCTCTCATGGAGAATAAGGGTTGTCCTCTGACTGAAGCGCTCCTGACATTTGCCACATTGATGAATTTTCTTTCGGGTGTGTAGTTTCTCATGAAGGATGAGGGAGGAGATCTGTCTTAATGGTTTCTTACAGTGGCTGCACTGGTAAGACTTCTCCCCAGCGTGAGAGAGCTGATGAAGCTTCAGAGACGAGCTCTGATGGAAGGATTTCCCACAGTCGCTGCATTTTAGAGACTTCTTCGCAGAGGGCCCCTTCTTTGATCTCCCCGGGACCTTACTGCCCTTCTTTCCCGTGGGAGCTTTCTTTTGTGCAGAAGTTGGCTTCTGCTGGGTGCTTGGCCCAGCTTTGCTTTGCTGACTTGCAGGTACTTTCTTAGTCTTACACTGAGACCCTGAGTCTGAAAGACATAAAAAAAAATGGTTTCTGTCTTCTAGTGTTGGAATAATAAAGCTTCTAGACTGTAAATGGAAACGTAGCTACCATTCACAGTGGTAACTAGAAGAATGATAACCAGAACTGTAACTTTTTAGTGCCTGTGATGATTTCAGGTAGAATACAAAAAGCTTTACTGAAATAGTTAATAACTGAGATTCAGGACAGTTTGCAATTATATAAATGAATAAAGATCTTTTTTTTTTAAATTATTAATTAATTTTAATGAAAGTTTATAGAGCCTTTGGATTTCCATTCATTCATTGTTGTGCTTTTCCCCCTGCCCAAAAGCCCCCCCCCAACAGTTTTTTCTTCTCTTTGAAAAGCAAAAGAAGATTTTAAAAGAAAGATATTATTTTAGTATAAATATTTTATCACAGATTTAATGAAATTCTTTAGCTGGTTCATTTAATAAACAAATTTTTAAAATTTTATGATTTGTCCAGAAAAAGCCTATCTATGGAAGGCTGACTGAGTAATTCCAAGTCCTAGGGCCAGAGGTAGGGAGCTCTGGTGGTAGGAAGTCAAGCTGCTAACCCCAGGTGGCGTCTTTCTGCTGGTTTGAATCCACCAATGGCTCATTAGGAAGAAGATGGGTGATCACCTCTTGTGCAATTCACAGCCTCTGAAAACCTGTTGGAGGATTCAGCTATGAGTGGAGTTGGGGATCAGATATGGGAATGTGGATTAACTGTGGTCCACAGGCATGAGGGGTTATTTGGGTGAAGAACACATTTTACAATTGGATTAGGGTGTTGTTGTTATGTAATATTGAACTGCATCTCATCTGGGGTCTTCCTCTCCTGCGCTGTCCCTCCACCCTTCCAAGCATGATGTCCTTCTCCAAGGACTGGTCACTCCTGGCCACATGCTGAAAATATGTGAGATGGAGCTTCAAAATCCTACCCTCCAAGGAGAGACTTGGTTTTACCCTCTCCAAGATGGACTTATTTGTTTCCTTGGAGGTCCATGGTATGTTCAATACTCTTCTCCAGCACCACAACTCAAAGGCATCAATTCTTCTATCATCCCTAGTCACTGTCTTTCTATCCTTCTTAGTCACTGTCCAGCTCTCTTATGCACAGCAAGTAACTGCGAAGACCATGGCCTGGAACAGGTGCACCTTAGTCTCTAGACTGACACTGTTGCTTCTCAGTACTCTGGAGATGTCCCTGACAGCAAATTTTCCCAGTGCAATGTGTCTTTTGATTTCCTGACTGCTGGTGCCAAGAGTGTTGACTGTGGAAGCCGATCAAGCTGTAACTTAACAGCCTCAATCTTTTCTCTATCTATCATGGTGCTGCCAACAGGCCCAGTGGTGAGAATTTTTGTCTTCTTGATGTTGAGCTCTAATCCATACTGAAGACTACAGTCCTTGACCTTCTGCTGCAATCACTTCAGGTCCTCCTCAGTTTCAGCAAGCAGGGTTGTGTCATCTGCGTAACATAGGTTGTTGATGAGTCTTCCTCCAATTCTGATGCCACATTTCTCCTCATAAAACCCAGCCTCCTGAATGATCTGTTCTGCATACAGATCAAAAAGGTATGGAGAGAGGATGCATCCCTGACACTCTCCTTTCCTGATTTTGAACCATGTAGTGTTTCTTTGCTCTGTTCTGAGGACTGCTTCCTGGTCCCAGTATAGGTTTCACATAAGCACAATCAAGTGTTTCGGGACTCCCAATCTCCTCAAGGTTAGCCACAGTTTTTTGTGATCCACACAGTCAAATGCCTTTGCATAGTCAATGAAACAGAGACAGACATTCCTCTGGTGGGATTCAATATTAAGATTAAATATTCAGGAAAGTGAAAACATTCAATTCAGGAATGGGAGATAAATTAAGAAAAAAAGCTATAAGGCATAAGAAAACTGCAGCAACTCGTACTCTCATTTTGCTAAATAATAGTCACTTTGTTGTGAAGGGCTGCCAGGCGGGTGCAGATCCAGCAGCCATACAGAAGGACGAGACACTGGCCAGTGCCCTCCGGCCTCACAATCTCTGAGAAGGGAGGAGTACGAGGGGGAAAAATGACTCAACAGAGAAGCTGGAGGAAGAGGAAGGCTTTACTCAATGACACCATTCACTTCAGAAAGGAGGAATTCAACTCCTGTTAGGATGGGCTTAGGTCGGAGCCACCAGAGGACCGACCACCTGAAGGAACGTGTGGGGCTGAGTCAGTCTCTGCCATCGAGTCTGTTCTGTGCGCTGTTGGATAAGGAGCCGTAGCCTGGTCTCTACCCTCCAGATGCAGCGGCAAAGCTTCCCCTGCGCCTTCACCGTGACAAGCAAACGACTCTCTGGGGATCGCCCAATGACGTCTAGAGGCAACCTGAGACCTGGCTGAGAACCACCGGACTACAGAGATATATGGCACTAGGTCAGCCGGGTTTAAAAAAAGTCCCAACCCCCAAGACAGTCTTCCCGTGAGGGGTACCATGCCCCTGACAAGCAAGGACCGTGAGATCGGTGCTCAGTGCACTGGACAAGCCACCGGGAGGGACCAGACCTGAAGAGGAACATCACGCTCGGTCACGTACAGGTTCAGCCAAAAAGCAGACTTCCGTCCAGCGAGCTCACACCATACTGCAACAGTGGACTCAAATGGCAGTAACCCTGAGGATGGCACAAGGACGGCTGGCGGTTCATTTTGCACTGGGAATTGCTAGAGTCAGGGGTAACTCAGGAGACCTAACAGCAGCCGTGACCCGCAGAAGCTATCCAGCCTGCGCTGAACGCCTTCCGTAAGCTCAGGATTGCTCTTACTCCTTTTCCAGCTCTGTGCCTGGCCATCCCTACGGGACAGACGGGCAAGCGTGACAATAATGCCTCATTTAACAAAAACAGCTTCTGTTTCTCCAGCAGGGTTTCGAATTCTTAACGCGTGTCATCTCATTTGGTCCTCATGCCACCCTGTGACGTCACAGCTGCCACTTAGATGAGAAGAACTGAGATCCACAGGGTGAAGTCACAGACACAAGGGTGATGTGGAGTGAGAGGCCTGAAAGCAAATGCTGGCCTCGCTGTCCAGGCAGGAGCATCCATCTGCTGGCTTGTCCCTCCCTGCTGCTCCTGGTACCCAGCAAGTCTGCGTGAGGCTTCCCTCTGGACACGAAGCAGCCCTAGTTAACTGCGTAGGGCACAGACTGTGTGAGACCTCAGTTCTCTTAGTTCAGACATGGTGTCACGAGAGAGAACAGCGTGGCTGACACACAGAAGGTCCATGAAAACGAGGGGGACCCTCAGAGAGATCACCCACAGTCGTGGCCTCAGAGGTACCCTGATCCTGAGACGGTGAAGGATCGGGCCAGGTTACACACACACACACACATACACACACGGGTTATGAGCTGGAGCTGACTTGAAGGCAACCGTCCCCCACCAACACTTAAAGGAACTCACGGCTGAGCCGACTCAACGAGATCTATCAGAGAAGGGGATGGACGGCCAGCCGGAAAGTGGAAGAGTCACCGACGGGCAGCCAAAGAGAGCAGGCAAGGGAACAGTTTCTTTCTTTTTTATTTTTAATGGTCAAAGAAAATCATGCAAATTTGAGTATGTTTCCACCACTGAGCCACTTTCTACGCACGCAACTCCAGCCTCATGACAGGGCAGAACTCTGCCCAGGCTGGGATCTTTAGGGGGTCGAACACCTCAGCTTTCTCCCACAGAACAGCCAGTGGGTTTGAAAGCTCGCCCTTTCAGGGTGCAGCCCAACACTTAATCCACTGCACCGTCACAGAGACTCAGATGAAAGAAAAGGGTATACAGGGAAGTAAAGGCAGCTCGGATCAGGGTTTTCCTTTTTTCATTCTCTCCCTCAGGGATTAGGCTGGAGAGCCTGGGTTCTCCCGCAGGCCCCGCCTCACATCATCTGTTCCAGACGCTGCCTCCTCAGGACCCTCTCTGAGGACTGCTCGCTAGCAAGACGCGGTCCCCCGCCCCGCCTCTCACTCACCGGGGACCCGGGGCTTCTTCTTCGCTGGTTCTGGTACACAAGGCGCCTTCCCTTTCTCCAGCAGAGCGATCACGTTGGGTCTCCGGAGGCAAAATCCTGCACATGAACGGGGAGAGAAAGCAGAGTTGACAGTCAGAGGGGTGTCACAGAAGTGGGATGAGCTTACCAGCACAGGGGCGTGAAGGGAGCTGGAGAACAGGGTGGGCGGGCACCCGGCCTCGGCTGCTACGGCTGGTTTACTCTGAGTCTAAAGAGCCAGCTCGCTTCTTGCAAAGCTGGACCTCAGTGTCCCGGTTACGCAGATGTAGGCAGACCTCGCCCCACTGCACTTCACGGTGCTTTGCAGAGAGTGTGTTTTACAGAGTGAAGGCTGTGGCCACCCTGAGTCCAGCAAGTCTATGGACGCCCGTTCCCAGCAGCCTGTGGTCACTTTGTGCCTCTGTGTCCTATGAGTCATCATGGACTGAGAGATACCCAACAGGTGACCAATATTCCCAAAGTTTTAATAATGTTTACCAGACTGCACTTTATTTCACACCAGTTACGCATACATCAAGTGCTTTACTGACTTATGCTTACTTTGACATATAACAGAAGGCAGCACAGTGCCAGCATAACCTTCTTTCTTTTTTCTTTTAAATAAAAATGTTAAAATTGTCATTTTAACAAAAGTTCACAGAAAAGTTAGGTTTTCATTCATTCACTGTTGCAACATTTGCCAGCATAACTTTGATAAGCACTGGGAAACCAGAGAGACTCACGACACACGACAGCTCCACTGACTAATCTGACTTGCTGTGTGACCCGCAGTGAACCTGCAGTAGCTCTGAAGTCTGCCAAGTCTGCCCGTGTTGGCGTTCAACTCGAAACCCAAGTGCCTCTGCTACACATTGTGATGGCAGGACTAGGCTTCTGTAGACCACAGTTCTCTGCCCACTCTCCCTGCTGGCCACCTTGACACGGGTGTTGCAGTGTTGCGGAATGTTAGGGAGGAGCAGGAGGCCTCTCTGGCTGGGGCAGATCGTACTAGCTCTGGATAAATGCAACCCTACAATGGCTGCTGCATCTGTTGAGCTGGGAGTGGTTTGCACTGGGCTGAAGTTCTCCTGTCCAATCGGCATACTCCACATCTACAAATACACCCCATCCTGTCTTCCTGTTTACTTGCCTGTATATAAGCGCACCGTAACCCCCAAATAAAGTGGAGTTGGCTCTCTGAACTGCTCCCGGAGTGGTGTGTCTCCATCATGCTTACCCCTGTTAGGGTGTCGCTGCTCCCTGCCGGCAAACAGACAGTGACACCCTGACGCACTGACACCCTGACAGACAGCGACATTGCAGGGAGCCTGGGGAAGGGAGATGCATTCCTGTGACACACAGTGAGGCCTCAGCCCCAGCGGCATGGTCCAGTGCGGATCAGCACTTCACCCCTCTGTGTGCTGGGTTTTGCTATTCACCCCCCCCCATAATGTACTCACATACTAACACACACAGGAAACCAATGTGTACCATTGCAAGAAAGTAGAGAAGGCCCAGACAGATGGAGGACACACCTTGCTCGTGGGTAAATGGACTTTGTCCTGTGGAAATGTCAGGGCTGCCCAATGTGGTCTGTAACTCAACCCAAATCTGGAGTCCATCAACTTTTTTTTTTAAGAAGATGGAAAAACCAACTTCCCACTTCATACAGAAGAGAAAGAGGCCTCACCTCAAATAAGCTGAACATTTCTGCAAAAGACCAAAGCGGCGGTCTCACACGCTTCGATTTCAAGACACACTATATACAGCCACGGCAGGCAAAACAGCTGGTATGGGCAGAAGGACAGACACACAGAGCAGCGGAACAGAACCGAGAATCCAGAAATAGTTCCATCCACATACGGGCAGCTGGAAGGTACAAAGGAGAAATCTAGGAAAACTGCCAAGTTGTAAAATGTGAAATGGAATCCGTCGAGCTCACTAGCCAACACATTAAGAGCTGACACAGACTGACACTGGCCAGTCTGGCTAGGACAATCGCAGGGTTTACTGTGCGGGGAATGACAAACTCAAGAGGAGGGGTGTCACACACACTGTCAAGAAGAACATTTTGAGATCGATCCTGAAGTAAGTGACAGAATGAAATCCACATGCCTACAAGGAAGATGGGCCCAACAGGACTAGTACTCAAACTTATGCACCAGCCACCAACTGTCAACAATGACGAAATTGAGGGCTTCTCGGCAGACCAACTGTGCCGTCTGTCACAGAGCGAGAAGGTTAGTAGGATGCATTATCAACTGAGGACTGGCATGCAAACGCCGGAAACAAAGAATTGCTAGTTTGAAAAGAATGGCTGTGGGGACAGAAATGAGGCTTAGGAACGCATGGTAGAATTGTCTAAGATCAATGATTTACTCTCTGCATATAGTGTTTTGTTGTTTGGTTTTTAAAAAAAAATGAGGGGTAGCTGTGGTATATTCACACAATGGAATACTATGCTGCAGTGAAAAACAAAGAACTCATGAAATAGCATTCAAAATGGGTGACCCTGAAGGACATTACACTGTATGAAATATCTCAGTCACAAGAGGACAAATATTGCATAGTGCCACTGCTGTAGAACGGGACTGACATCGGGGTTGAGGGAAGACAGAGAAGGAGGTGAGGAATTATGTACATTGCATTGAAACAGATGAGGGAGAAAACTGTTTAAAAGGGATATATGATTGGGTATTACTGTCATGACAGGAGTCCAGCACGAAGGCTGCATAGTGGAATGGACTTGGGAAGAGGGGTTTACTTTTCAAAAAGAGGAGCGAACTGGAGGGGAGGAGGTGGGCAGGGAGCAAAGTGCAACAATGAACGACTAAAAATCCAAAGTCTCTGTAAGCTTTCATGAAAATGAATTAATTAAAACAATAAATGGAGACAAAAGCAGCGAAGCTTCTTCTCTCACACTCTGGGCATGTGGCTTGGAGAGGTTCTTCTCTGAGAGGACATCGCGCTTGGAAAGGGGGAGGGTCAGCAAAAGAGAGGAAGAGCCTCACGGAGACAGAGTGACGCAGTGGCCTCAGCCACAGGCTCAAGTGTGTCAGAGCTGATGCCCCAGCACAGGGCAGGACAGGGTTCAGATCTGCGGTTCACAGGGCTGCTACGGCTCGCACTTGACTCAATGGCTCCTAACAGCGGCATACTTACTCCCTGGCCTTGACCTTGACTGACAGAATACGCAGGAACTGAACTGACTACATGTATAGTAAGACACGGAGGAAGATGCCCAACATTATCTGTGAGAAGAAGGCCAGAGGCCGACTGTAAAACAGACCATCAACCGCTCAGCAACAATTTCAAAATGAAGCCGAAGAAAATGGAAACAAATCCACAAGAGTGGAAATCCGCCTTGAGCCTCTCACATCTGAACGTAAGACACCATTTCAAGAATAAACTTGATGCACTGAACATGAAGGATCAGATCAGGGACATTCATCTATGAAGAAAACAAAAGGTCGTTAAAAAAAAATCAAAAAAGAAAACCAGGGAGCTCTGGTGGCCCAGTGGCAAGAAGCTGCACTGCAATCCCACAGATACGTGGTTCAAATCCACCAGATGCTCTGCTGGAGAAGGAGGGGCAATCTCCTCCTGTATCAGTCAGATCCGATTTGACGGTACTCACACAAAAAATAATACAATAAAATTAAAAGGAAAGGAAGAAAAGACCAACACGGATGTCAGGGAGAGGGTCAGAAACCTGTTCAATGTGGAGAAGGGAAAGTGAAATGAAATAATAAGACAGTCCAACAGAAGATTTCAAAGGGTAGCTAGAGAACATAAAACAAAATAATATATTGAAATGTGCAAAAGACTTGGTGTAAGGAAACCCAAAAGGAAGAAGATGCTTGGCATTTCTGACACTGAGAGAAGTGGAGAAAGCGTTCAAGTCTGGCATTGCAATACTGAAGGGTTCTGTGGGCAAAACACTGACTGACGGAGGAAACATCAAAAGGTGGAATGAATTCACAGTCACCGTACCACCATCACAGAACTGGGGGACACCGAACCATTTCAGGAAGCGGTGTGTCACCAAGAACCCAGGGTACTGAAGGAGGACGTTCAAACCGCACTAAAAACACTGGTGAAAAATAAGGTCCCAGGAATTTACTGAATACAAATTGAGGTGTTTCAACAAACAGATGCAGCCTTGGATAAGTGATCACTGATATGCCAAGAAATGTGGAAGGCAGCTAATGCGGCCAACCAACGCGAAGGGACATGTATTTGTTGCCTGTTCAAAACCAGGTGTTAAAACAGAATGCAGTAGTTATCAAATAATAGCATTAATATCACAAACAAGTAAAATATCATTATTGTTGTTGTTATTATGTACAGATCCAATTTGACGGTACATACACACAAAATAATAAATTTTAAAAAATATTTTCTTGTTTAAAATGTTCTTATGTGCCATCTTATGTAACTCATAGCGATCATGTGTACAACAGCCCTAAACCCTGCTCGATATATCCCTTGCCAGTCTTACTGTCTCCGACACACCTACCCCCATTACCCCAGTCACTGAATCAATCCACCTCATAGAGGGTCTTCCTCTCCTGCGCTGTCCCTCCACCCTCCCAAACATGACGTCCCTTTCCAAGGACTGGTCCCGCCTTGCAACATGCCCAAAGTATGTTACACGGAGCCTGAGAATCCTTGCCGGGTAGCTCAGTGTCCTGGTAGCACCATTTCCCGGAACGGCACGCACACACTCACCGTGCACCAAGTTACACGTGGCCATCCGCAGAGGGCCTCAGCACCCTCCTGGACTGCAGGGTGGCCTTCACGTGCACCTGCACCATCGGGAAACCCACGCTGCATGGCGCCTGCCCCATGAAGTATCACAGCCCTCGGCCCTCGAGGGGCAAAGCCCACCACACGTGCTCTGCTGAGTGGGCAGCTGTGTGTCAGGACAGCACGCAGCCTAGTCAGGGTCTCTGGTTCTCCATTCTTACACATTGTATTTATTTCTAAAAGTAGGACACGCTCTTTGGTTCATTTTCCTGGTGGTATTTTCATTTTACTAGAGGAGAAGTGTGGGAAGCCAAGTATCAAGTCTAATATTAATAATAAACCAAATGCTATATGAGGATTTAAAAGAGGTATAATAAAAGCTGGAGTTCACCCTGAGGCACTAAGGCGTTCCTGAAAAGTCTTAGTTTGTATTTACTGAATCCCTCCCTCCTGAGATTAGCATAAGGTAAACAATAGAGAAGAACTCCGGTTCATCTGCAAAAAGACTTCCCCATGATCCCTCGTTTTTATTTTCTACTCCCTTGTGATTTTCCTTTGTTTACCTCCCTGATGATTCTCAGTAAATACACAGAGAGGTACCACTTGGGCGCTTCAGTCATCAGGACAGCTGGCTCCCTGTCTTTACTCTCTTATCTCATTCTTGGTGGTCTGTCTCATTATTACTTCACTCTCGGTCTGCAACAGGGAAGACCCTCTGAGATAGATTGAGTCAGTGACTTGGGTAATCGGGGTGGGTGTGCTGGAGATGGGGAAACTGGCACAGGATAGAGCAGAGTTAAGGGCTGTTGTACGTAGGATTGCTCTGAGTCGCAGGTGACTTGACAGCACATAACAACAACAACATTTTAAACAAGAAAATACTTATCTTTTTAAAATTTTTTATTATTTTGTGTGTGTGTACCGTATCTGACAGGTACATGACAGGTACAGGAGGAGATTGCCCCTCCTCCAGCAGAGCATCTGGTGGACTTGAACTGCGTACCTCTGGGATTGCAGGGCAGCTTCTTGCCACTAGGCCACCAGAGCTCCCTGAAAATACTCTTCTTAATGACTTTTCTTATTTAAGAACATTTATTAATACTTCACTGAGACACAGTACTCAACTCCCACTCCCTGCTGTCAGGCTGGAACTGACTCCCGTCTCTCTCCCCGGAACTGCTGCTGGTGGAGTCAAAACACCAGAGAAGCGAGGCGGGGCCCTTCTGTTAGCGGGGAGACTCCCTCGGCCTTACATGCTGAGCTGTTGACTGCCATTCACACACACATCTCTGTGCACGACGCCAACAAACTCCTTCACTCCAGATTTTCCAAAGTTAACAGCTCATGAGTCAATCTCTCGAGATGTAAACTGAACAGATTAAGCACAAAAAACCCCTGAGTGCAGAGGGGGAAGAGGGACCCCATGCTGACGCGGGCTAGAACAAGAATCTCCCCACCGCCAAAAAAAAGCTGACACTGACAGAAATTCTTCTCTAGACCCACGTGCCCTGAATGTGGACTTCAAGCCTTCCCAGCTGTGAGGGGAAAACACATCTCTGTTTGTGAAAGGCAACCCCCCTGTGGCGTTTCTTTCTGCTCCCACAGATAGAGCAGAGCTGAGAAAGGAGAGGGGAGGCTCACCGAGAGACACCAGGGTCTGGTAGTTCTCCAGCATGACATCCTCGTACAATTCTTTCTGAGGGGGGCTCAGCCACTCCCACTCCTCCTTGGAGAAGTAGATCGCCAAATCCGCGAACGTCACAGGCGCCTGAAAGACAGACCCCCATCCATGCCCTTCAGCTGGACTCCCCCACTCTCCAGGGGCATGGACTCAGGAGCACTGAAGCCAGGGTGGACAGAGCTGGCCGCGTGGACAGGCTGTCTGGAGGGGGCACGTCCTGCAGGAGGGCAGGAGGTGGGGAGAGCCCTCACTGAGACAGACTGGGGCAGTGGCAGCAACTGTGAGGTCACACAATGACCACTTCTGTGCAGATGGCACAGGGCAGGACTGGCAGCCACCAGTGACTCGACGACACCTGCGGCAGGGACACAGACTCTCATTAAAGGTGACGGAACAAGCTGGCAACAGGTAGTGGTGGCAACAGGACAGCATGGTGGGCATTCTGCCACCAGACATTAGAGGTTCTGAGGTCAGAGTGGGCAGACAGTCTAAAACCAATAGAACACGATAGGGAGCGACGCAGCTTTCACAGAACGAACACAGCGTTCCTTCTGGGCCAGGTGCGTGAGCGACGGCCACGTCTGCCTTCTGCTCCCTGGTCATGTGTGTGGAGAGCACCTGCCTTCACGCACGCTCGTTTCCCTTCACAGGCGCTGAGCTTCCTGTACGTGGAGGGTGTGTGTCAACCTCACACCGATAAAGGCTGCGGGCACCGTTTTTTACCCAAGAGCTTGTGCTCACTTCATGGCTGTGTGTCTCATTCTGTCATTTTTACAATATTTATGCTTTCCCACCAGCTTCCACGTTTCATATGCCGTCAATCCCGACACACGGTGACCCACACAGTGCAGCTTAACCACAAGGCGTTTTTTTTTTCTTTTTAACTATGATTTGAGTGAAGGCTCACGAGGCAGTTTTTCAAACCATTCATACACATTTGGTTCTTGAGCCCGCATCTTAACATTCACTCTCCCCGCTTCCTCTCTGCAATCCGGAGTGCTGTTCTTCCTCTGCGTCCTCCTGTCTTTGGGGATATTGTGCTGTTGCCCCCTTACTCGATACAGCCTTTCCCTTCATAGATCTTCTTCTTCTTGTTGTTACATACCGTTGAGTTGGCTGCGACTCACAGCGACCTTGTGTACAACAGCCCTAAAGCCTGCTCTGTCCTGTGCCAACCTCACTGTCTCTGACACACCCACCCCCGTTACCCCAGTCACTGAATCAAACCACCTCGTAGACGGTCTGCCTCTCCTGCGCTGTCCCTCCACCCTCCCAAGCATGACGTCCTTCTCTAAGGACCGGTCCCTCCTTGCAACATGTCCAAAGTATGTCAGATGGAGCCTCAGAATCCTTGCCTCCAAGGAGCAGCCTGGTCTAACCCTCTCTAGGACGAACCTGTACTCTTCTCCAGCACCACAGCTCAAAGGCATCAATTCTCCTTCTGTCCTCCCTAGTCATTGTCCAGTCTCTGATGCATAACAAGTGATTGCAAAGACCATGGCCTATATCAGGAGCACCTTAGTCCCCAGAGTGACATCATCGCTCTTTAGTATTTTGAAGAGGTGCCTGACAACAGACTTTCCCATCGCGAGACATGTCTTTTAATTGGAATGTATATTACACACTCACTCATTTCACTCCCCTGTGCCTCCCTCCCCAGCCCTGGTAACCACCCAGGAATGATTCTGTGTGGGAGCTTTTCCTGAGCTTTTTACAACAGATGTCTTACACAGTATCCGTCCCTTTGCAGCCGACCTATTTCACCTGGCATAACGCTCTCCAGATGCACTCAAGTTTGGCAGTGTCCCGTGAATCAGTTTGGCGTGTATCCGCACTGGAGGATGAAGTCCGTGTGGCTCACTCTGGGTCGGTACTTGGCCTGGCAGTGTGGCCCGTGCCCCAGAGCGATGCTTGCTGTTGATGGCAGTGCGGCGGGCTGCTGCCTGCCTGGTGACAGCGGTCGTCACAGTATCTGACACAGGCTGCTGACAAGCATATGCCCAACAGGAAGAGACTGCTTCACCAACGGGGGTTTTGGGGGCTGCGGCTCTTCCTGCATAAACCATGCCTTCAGCGTAGCAGGTGGTGGTGGGCGTCCACCAGGCACTCTACGTGAACCTTCCTCCTGGTCTGTTTTCATCCGGACTTCTGATCAAACCTGTCCAGCATCACAGCAAACGGCATGCCTCCACTGCTGGCCAGGAGCGGCTGTGACTGATGGTCCCCGCAAGGGAACTTGAACCCGGACCTGCAGCCATGAAAGGCATGGGGTCTACCACTCGGACCCCCTCTGCTATCACATGCTCTGTGCAGTTGTAGAGTCTCATGCGTTATGTGTTCAAGTTGATTCCGGCCCCTTGTGACACCACGTGCGTGGAGAACTTCTCCCGCGGGTTTTTAAATCGTGACTGGAGTGAGTTTACAGAGACTGGTTTGCCAAGCAGCCATTCAGACACATTTTGCTTGATAACATTAAAGAGAAGGCCCTGGATGTCAGGTAACCACTTGTACCTTCTGTGACACAAACCCGCATGCTCGCCTCCCTTGCTCCAGGCTGTCTAGGGTCAGCTGTCGAGAGCTCTGAAGCACAAGGGGCGTCAGCGGCTGTGAGACATCCCTGCAGGACAGCAGAGTGAGGGGTCAGACTCCTGTGACATGGTGGCTGCAGCCGTAAACCGGGTCACAGGAATCTTTCCGTTTCCCGGAGCCCAGGAGAGTTAGGTCAACGATAGGGAAGTCTACAAAGCCCACAAAAGGACCAGGGGAGGGTCTGCAGTGGTGGGAGACCACCTGGAAGCGGTCAGCCCTTTCTAGGCACCAGCAGCACACTGTCCGCTCTCTAAGGGGCTGGACTGACAACTGGTGGACAGGAGACAAACCGTGTAGCTGACCCACGCCCAAGGCAAGGAGGTGGGAGCGGGGAGTCCCGTGGGTCCTTGCTTCACCCACCACCCAGCCCACACAGGCAGGTGGGTCTCAGAGAACAACAGTGGACGATCGGAAACCTCACCAGGTGGTCATTCCTCCTGTGGCTGCCAGTCCCGGCTTGAGCAGACTCTTCCAGCTCCTGGTACCTGGGACGCAGGTATGGATCTAGCCAACGCCTTTTTCTCCATCCTGGTTCCAGAGGACCAGCAACAGTCTGTTTTCTGCCAGCAAGCGCCACAATACACTTCCCCTTAACACGGGGTGTCTTACCTCTATAGTACTATGTCACTTTCCCCCACTACAGGGGTATATGAACGCTCTAACCCTATGTTATAATCTTCTTCTTCCTGTTATGTGACATCGAGTCACCTGCGACCCTTAGTGACCCTGTGTACAGCAGCTCTCTGAACCCTGCCCTGACCTGAGCCAGTCTCTCTGACTCTGACACACCAACTCACATCGCCTCAGTTACTGTATCGATCCATTTCATCTGGGGTCTTCCTCTCCTGCACTGTCCATCCATCCTTCCAAGCATAATGTCCTTCTCCAAGGACCAATCTCTCCTGGCCACGTGCCCAAAGTATGTGAGACAGAGCTTCAAAATCCTAGCCTCCAAGGAGAGACGTGGTTTCACCCTCTCTAAGACAGACCTGTTTGTTTTCTTGGCAGTCCATGGTATGTTCAAGACTTCTCCAGCACCACAGTTGGAAGTGATCTATTCTTCTTCTGTCATTCTTAGTCACTGTCCAGTTCTCTGAGGCGTAGCAAGTAACTGCCAAGACCATGGCCCGAATCAGGCGCACCTTAGTCTCGAGACTGACACCGTGGCTTTTCAGTACTCTGGAGAGGTCCCCGACAGCCGATTTTCCCACTGCCTGCTGTTTCTAAGTGCTGCCTGTCATAATCTAGTCTGCAGGAATGATGACTACCTCTGCCTTCCACAACACGTCACAATGGTCCCTTTGTACCTGTGACATGCTGCTGACTGGACTGAGGAAGAACCTGGTAACTCCTGACTTATGGGTGAGACATCTCCATGCTCAAGGGGGTGACACATAAATCCTACAAAAATGAAGGCACGTTCCACGTCAGCGAAACTTCTCTGGGTCCAGGGGTGCGGGGGCAGGCGGAGAAAGGCCACCTGAAGAGAGGGACTAAGTACCCCATTCAGCTCCACATCCCGGACCCACAAGGAGCCCCAGGGCTTGGGGGCTAGACCTGAAAAGGGCTGGCTCCCCGCCCCTGCGGTCCTGTGCCCGGCGGGCCTGCAAGTCCTGGTCCCGATGGGCGGAATGCTCCCACTTGGAGACACAGGGAACTGGAAGCTCACAAAGATCCCTGGCCGCCTGGGAATGTGCACTCCTCGGGGACAGCAGGTGATGAACGGAGTTACGGCATCGTGTGGTGTGACCGATGCGGGTTACCAAAGGCGAATAAACTCAGTGCCGGGCTGACTCCCTAGTGGGTTTCCAGAGGCTGTGAGTGGCACGGAAGGAGATCTCTTAGCATCTGCCTGCAGACCGGCTGTGGGATTTGAACCACTATGGTTGTCACTCTCGGTAAGCAAGGCAAGCAGCAGAGTTCCCTTCACGGCGAAGGAAACAGGGTTGATGCCACCTAAGGGCATCTGACTGTGCGGGTCCTAACAAAGTACAGCTAACCCCAAGAAGAATGGGAATCCCAGAGCACGGTGCTCGTGCAAAACTGACACCCAGACCTCTAAGAGGCTGCTGTGGAGAGAAGCACGGGGCCCTGTGTGGTTTCAAATTAAGAAAGGTGTGTGTGTGGAATACTACGCAGCACGCAGGAGCAGTACCTTGGTAAACTACCGCTTAGCTTGGGAGGGACCCGAGAGCGTTACGCTGAGTGAACTAACTCAGTCCCACAAGGACAAATATTGTATAAAACTGTTATTGAAGAATGAGTATAAGGATCCAGGAGGGGTGGGAGAGGCTGGAAGCAGTGGGATGTGGATGTGCAGGGGGAAGGGGGGGGAATTACTCATTGGGTTGTACAATGTGATGGGGCGGGGGTGAGGGAAATGGAAAGAATTTGTTCAAATTTGTATTCGAATCTCGTAAATAAACTAGTAGAGAAAAAAAATGAAGAAGAGGTGTGTGTCAGAGTCATCTCTGTCCATATCTAGTCCATCCCTGAGCATTTGAGAAGCTGCACTCTATGAAGAAGACTGTGGCGTCGGGACTGCAGGACGAAGGCTCACTAACCACCTCTGGTGGGCAGACGGCACAACCTGGCTTGCTGGACTGGAAGTACGTGCTGCAGAAGATCAGAGAAGACAGCCTGCGATGTGGAATTCAGCCTTCAACATGCATCTCAGTGTCAAGAAAGAAAATAAAACACCCTCTCACCAGTAGACCAACGGGCAGCATCAGGATGGAAGAAAAGATTGAAACTATCAACTTTCTCTTACTTAGATCCACAAACAGTACACTTGGAACTAGCAGGCAGATCAGGGGACATATTTGGAAAGTCTGCAGTCAGGGACCTCTCCAAAATAATAATAATAATAATATTATTATTTTAATTTTATTTTATTATTGTGTGTGTGTGTGTACCTTTAAACTGGATCTGACTGGTACAGGAGGAGACCGTCCCTCCTTCTCCAGCAGAGCATCTGGTGGATTCGAACCGCGTACCTCTGGGATTGCAGTGCAGCCTCTACATTACTGAGGAGCAGTGACGTCAGTTTGAGGCCGTGGTCTTACCAATGACTTGCAGTGCTGCTGAGAGCTGGACAGTGACTAATGATGACAGCAGCACTGACCCCTTTGCGCTGTGGTGTAGGATATGCACACTGACCATTCCTTGGATGGTCAAAAAGCACACACAGATGTGTCATGCAGAGAGGGCAGCCCGAGTGCTCCTTGGCGGCAAGCAAGGCGAAGCTCTGGTCTCACACGCTCTGGGGGTGTTGCTAGGAGAAGCTAGCCCTTGGTGTGGAAGGAGACAGAGACCCCCTCACGCAGGGGCACGGACACAGTGACTGCAGCCATGGGCTCCTGTGTGTCAGACACTGAGAAGGGCACCTGGCTCACACGGTTCACACCTGCTGTTCACAGGGTCGCCCCGGGTTGAACTGGACTGGATAGCCCCCGACCACAATAATAATAATGACAGTAAAGCAGAGTATGTCTGCAGTGCTGGGGATTCCTGGGCCATCCTAGTACTATCGTGCCCTAGAGCGAAAGCCAACGGGAAACTCCAGGAAGCCAGCGCTGACAGGCCTCCTGACGGCGAGATCTTCCAGGACGCAAGGCTGGGTCACACGTCGCTGAGGCGTCTGCCGAGGGGAACGGGAACGCACACTTGGTGGTGGAGAAGGGAGTTTTCAATTCCAGCTACAACCACGTACGTGATCAGCGGCAGAAACAAGGTTTAGAACTGTCAGGAGAGCTTTCTTCTTTTTATCTATATACGTGAGACGTTTTTCTTTTCACGTGGATTTGGGCTGCAGTCATACGTCGGATGTTGGGCTGTCACAGTTAATACTGGGTGCCAGCTGGGCACTGAGCCTAGATGACCGCTATGGTCTAATAAGGCAGGATTACGAGTGGGTCTGTAAAGGTTAGAGCAGCCCTGCTTGATTAAGGGCTGGTCTCCTCCGGGGTCTGGCCGGCATGGCTTCTCTTAGGGCTCTGGCAAAACCCCCAGTGTCCTCTGTCAGACGTGCCCTCTCTCCGGCTCGTGGTCTGGCGGACTTGTTGACTCTGGAGTTGTGGGGACTTGGCTCCAGCTGCCCAGTGCCCCTCCCCAGCAGGCCCTGGGGACACATCAGCCTTTGATGCTGACAGCCTCCAGCCTGAGGCCCTGCCCCACCAGGAGCTTCCATTGACTCGACAGGTCTGACCTGCAGACCCGGGTCCCTCCCAGGCCGGCGTGTGGACCACGTCCTTGCAAACTCGCTCTCACTCCACATCTGTCCGTCTAGCTATGTAAGCGCCCCTGGTTTTGCGTCTCTGAAGAACTCAGCCTGGGACACTCACTACGTGAGTGTGTGTTTGCATGTCCCAGTGTGTGTGTGTGTGTGTGTGTGTGTGTGCTCACATCAGAGTACACGTGTCCTCAAGAGCGGACGTGTGTCCCAGGATCTGTGTGTCCCCAGGTGTGTGGGTGTGAGCGTTGGCTGTCTGGTTGGAAGTGTGACGTGTCACAGGTGTGAGCTTCGGCTGTCTGTCCGACCATGTGACCTGTCTCCAGGTGTGTGAACTCTGGCTGTCTGTCCGGTTGTGTGATGGGTCACAGGTGTGTGAGCTTCTGCTGTCTGTCCGGTCGTGTGATGGGTCACAGGTGTGTGAACTCTGGCTGGCTGTCCGATCATGTGACCTGTCTCCAGGTGTGTGAACTCTGTCTGGTCGTATCATGGGTCACAAGTGTGTGAACTCTGGCTATCTGTCTGGTCATGTGATGTGTCCCCAGGTGTGTGAGCTTCAGCTGTCTGTCCGGTCGTGTGACAGGTCACAGGTGTTTGAGCTTCGGCTGTCCGTCGAGTCATGTGACCTGTCCCCAGGTGTGTGAGCTCTGGCTGGCTGTCCAGTCGTGTGATGTATCCCCAGGTGTGCTCATTCAGAGAACTTTGTGTCCTGAGGTGTGTGTGCAGGTGTGTGAGTGTGTGCACGTGTCTGTCCGTCTAAATGTGTATGTGCGTGTCCAGGTGTCACTGCATCTGTCCAGACGCGTGTGTCTGTGTCTTGGTAGGGGAGCTGGAGTGCTCCACAGGTGTGCATGTCTGTCCAGGTGTGCGCGCATCACCGTGTGTCCATCTGGAAAGACATCCTCCCTGTGAATGTGACGAGCGGAATCTGAGAGGCATGGAGAGACGACCTCGGGACCACACCGTGAAACCCCACCTGGCACGTGCCTCTGCCTCAGCCACTCAGTGGGGCTCACGTGCCTGCAGCAGGGACTCCCCCAGGCCAGCAGTGGCCCGGGATGCTGTACGGGCGGGTGAGTGGACGGGTGCATTGAGAGCTGGGGGGCCAGGGCCTCGGGGAGCTGGAGAGCAGCTCCTGGTGCGGTCCTGGGGGTCACGTGCCCCAGCAGGGACTCCCAGGGAAGGAAAGCAGGTCTGACCGATGGGGTGGCACGCCCCGCCCGAGTGGGCACTCACCTTGGACTTGGACTTTCTCCGGTTGGCCGGCATCCTCTCCTCCGTGAGGCTCCGAGGGTGGTGTGGTGGTCAGTCAGTGAGGTGAGCTGGGGGAGAAACAAAGTCTTTACACAGAGGGGACCGACCCAGCTGCGCAGTCAGGGTCCCCAGGTCCCCTGGGCTGGACGCACTCACCTCACCTGAGCACGCTCACAGTCACACACCTGGACACACACCCCTCTACACACATGTGGGCACATTCCTTCATCTCACCATGACACACGCCTGCACACACACACTCACTTCACCTGGCTCCCTGCCCCGTATACACCTGTAGACAGACACACACACACACACGTGCACAAGCACACGTCCATGTACAGACTTTTATGTGTACACACACACACACACACACACACACACTCTCTCTCTCACTTTACCCTGCCCCAAATATACCTGACAACAGACACACATGTGCGCAAGCACACAGACACATCCTTGTAGAGACCTCTATGTGCACGCGCGCGCGCGCGCACACACACACACACACACACACACGCCAGTCAGCACATCTATGGGAGCATTCCCGTCTCTCTCAGGGACAGGGAAGGGCTGCAGCTGTTGCTGTCCGCTCTAAAGGCCACGGCGTGCAGCCAGCCAGCCACCCTGCCGAGGAGAGCTGCCCGGGTGCCGACGGGCTGGGTGCCGCGGGGCGCACGGCAGGTGGGCACCAGGCCCAGCGCCCCACATAGCATCCTGCAGAAGGAGCATTGTGTGTGGCTTCCAGGGTGAAGGAGCGGCGTGGGGTGTGGAGGGCAGCTATGCCTGTGCTGGGGCAGAGAGTGAGGTGCAGGGCAGAGGGTGGAGCCGATGATGTGGGGGGGGGCTTTCAGATCTGGCCCAGGTGTGAGTGAGAGGGGTGAGGAGGGCTGTCCAAGAGTGACGTAATCAGACATCTCATGTGACAAGTCCATGGAGGTACAATGGCGAGGCACTTGGTCACCAAGGGCACGTCCCTACTGGGCAGCTCTGAGACCTGCTCTAGTAAAGATCCGACTCCAGAATGACGCACGGAAAGACACCCCGACTTCCAGAACCAAACCCCACGCTGTCCAGTCATTTCTGCATCACCGCTGCGCTCCTCTGGCCCGCCCCAGCCTGGACGTCTTTCTCCACGAATTCGCTGGTGGATTTGACCCACCAACCCTGTCCAGCAGCCTGAGTCTCCATGGGAGAACGGGGAGGCAGTCTGCTGCCATGAACTTGACACCCTGAGGGGCAGGCCTCCTCGCTCGGTCAGGGTCACGAGGAGGTGGGGTGGCCTTGGTCTTGCCTGTGTGCAGGGATTAGAATGGAGCAGACATGAGACGAAGAGTCAGGCCCCACAGGGTGAAGACCCTCCAGCCTGGTCTCACGTGGAGACTGAGCTTATCAGAGCGAGGTCTGAATGTCTAGTTCCCTTGATGTCAAGTACACTGACATCCCCCCAACTGGACCACTGTTGTTATACGCCGTCAAGTCAGGAATGACTCACAGCTCACCCTCCAGTGGGTTTTCAGAAGTTATAAATGCATGGGAGGAGACTGCTCATTTTTCTCCCTTGGAGCAGCTGGTGGATTCGAACTATGTGCCTTTGGGTTGGCAGCACAACTCCTTACCACTATGTCACCAGAGTAGGTAACAACAAAAAAATGGGAGAGAAATCTGACGTTGCCAAAGATCTCATTTTACTTGTATCCACAACCAACACCCACGGAAGCAGAAGTGAAGAAATCAGGGGAGCTCTGGTGGCCTAGTGGCAAGAAGCTGCAACTACAATCCCAGAGGTGCATGGTTCGAATCCACCAGATGCTCTGCCGGGGAAGGAGGGGCAATCTCCTCCTGTACCAGTCAGATCTGATTTGACAGTACACGCACACAAAACTTAATAAAATTTAAAAAAAAAAGAAGTGAAGAAATCAAAAGGCGTGTTGCCCGGGGCAGAGGCTTCTTTGGAATGCTAAAGAGTAAGGATGTCATTTTAAAGACTAAGGGGTGCCTGACCCAAGTCCTGATATTCTCCCTTAACTTCACAGGAATGTGAAAGCTGAAGAGGGAATAAGGAAGTGAAAGCTGGAGAGGGAATAAGGAAAAGCAAAGGAGGACCCGTCAAAGACAGACGGCCACCCCACGGAGCACCCACAGAACACGCACACCTGTCTGCAGCGTGTGCAGCACGGCTGCTCCTCCAAACACGGACAGAGACTGGTGCACACGCGGTGGGCGTGCTGTCAGGAGGGCCAGTCCTCGTGAAAACACCTACAGGGAGACAGACGGCCACAGTGACGGCCAGCAGCGGGCAGCAGCGGTGCCGAGGCTGTGACCCTGCTGGAGGACCGGGCGCAGGGGGAGGGACGATGCAGAGAGGACTCGAGGGCTCCTAACGAGAGCCGGGCAGCCGGTAAAGAACCCTGGCTGTGTCGCCGCCAGCGTGTTTTGGTCGGTGCTGACCAACCGTCTGAGTAAGGGAGACGGACGGCCTGATACCTGTGAAGGTTTACGGCCCTGGCGACCCTGGCCCGTGAGCCGGGGCCACCTCGATGGCCGGGCATATCTGGTTCTGGTGAAGAGCAGGCAGAAGATGCCTGGGCGGGGCAGTGTGGCCAGCTCCACGGGGGGCAGCTGGAAGCCACCGGCCACTCTTCAGGAGAGGCCCCAGCCAGCGTCCACACGGCTGAAGTCCCGGGCAGGCCTCGTCCGAGCTAAGGGTGGCTGTGGGTCACAGCCACCATCACCACACTAGATCTCTTTTCCTCCTTTTCTTTTCCTTCTGGGGGGCCCTGGTCAGAAGTGGGTCATTCGGCCTTTCTCTGGGTGCATTTGCACTGCTGGCCTTCCGTCTGCAGCCAAGCACTTAACCGAGTGAGCCACCCAGCGACCCCACCAGCTTCAGAGGCTCTGCCTGTGATTATTTCCCGTGAGAAAGGTACACGCTTCTTCCCCGCATCCACAAGGTGGAAACAGAAAAGGTTAGCTTAAAAAAGAAATCTAAAGAATTCTGCTTCCTTTGATGGGGCTGGGGAAGATCAATAAAATCAAGTCAATTAATTCCAATCAGTCAGATATGGAGGGTGTGTGACTGCCAGTGAGAAGGGTAACTGACCTTGGGCTGTCCAAGGGGACTCCGCAGGAAGCCCGGATGCGAATCCTTTGCTGTTTGCAAGAGTCACCAAAACTTCATAACCCCAAGCCCAGGGCCCAGGAGCGGGTCCCCCTCTGGCAGCCCACCCTGCAGGATGGCCGCATCTTTCTCCGGAACCACCAACCTTTCAGTCAGCAACTCTGCCTCGAACGAACCCAGCCCAAGCCCTCTGCTCGCTGAGCTGCGGCCCAGTCACGGCGAGTCTCCACTGGGGTTCTTAAGCTCTTGCTTTCCTTGTTGTTTTTTAAAAATGATTGGAACTACTAATCTGTGTGTGGAGGGCTACAAATCATCGTGTTTCCATCCAGTCATTCACAGATGTCTTGTTTGAGAACGTTAACTATACAATGTCTAGTCAAACCCTTCCTGTACACTGCCTTTTCTTCAACGCCGGCTACATATCTACAGGTTTTGGCTCACCTCTGCTTCTCTCCTCAGCCCTCTTAAGTCTTTCAGAGGCGACTACATAGTGAGAACCTTCCTTGACGTCTCCTGTTAGTGGTCGTCTGCCACCAACTGTCCTCTTGCGACGGACGGAGGTTTCTAAGCCTACGAATCTTTGAGCGGGGACACTGCACACCTTTCTCCCTCAAACTGGTTGGTGGATTCAAGCTGCCCCACTCTCTCGGTCAGCAGCGGGACCCACTGTGCGTGAAATGACTAGGGCTTTTCGACAATGAAGAGACCAGACAAAATCCCGAGTGCCCCACTGCTGCGGCATCAGCTCTGATGCAGCGCTCCGGTAGGACACAGAGGACTCCCCCACGGGGTCCCCAAGGTTGTGACTCTCGGGACTTCCTCTCTGTTTGAACAGCTGACCTTTGGTTTTGCGGTCAGGTACTTTCACCACTGGCCCATCGGGGCTTCTGAAGAGATGTCGTGTTGTGGGTGTTAGGTACCTTCGAATGGACATTGACTTTCAGGGAGCCTGTGGACAACAGAAGCAAATGTTGGATGGACTTGTGCCCCTCCACATGCCCCACTTGGGGTGCACTGCGCTGAACTATGGCCCTTCCACTCTGGGCGTGTTACTGGGAGGGGCTGGTTCCTGGAGAAGACCATTCCACTGGGGAGCTGTTGGTGTGTGTTGTGTTGGTGTGAGTTGGAACTGACCCATAGCTGACCCTCCTGCAGGTTTTCGGAGGCAGGAAATTGCACAGGAGGGAGTGTCAACCTTCTCCTACGCAGCAGCTGGATGCGAACCACCGGCCTTTGGGATCGCAGCGCATCTTACCACTAGGCCACCAGAGCTCCCTTGACAAAAGGTCACAGAGAGGAGGGAGACGGCCGTGGGCTGAACCAGGGCCCGGGCACAGCGGCGGCTGTGGACGGGGGTCAGCCTGGCGACCTCTCGTGGCAGGCCTCATGACAAGGAGCCCTGGTGGCACAGCGGAGACACACTAAGCCAAGCCGCTAACTGAAAGGCTGGTGGTGGTTGGCACTCTGCAGAGGTGGTGATCTGCTTCCGTAAGGGCAACTCTGTGGGGCGCTTTCCCTCTGTCCTATGGGGCAGCTATGCGTCAGAGTTGCTCCACGGAAGTGGGTTTACCTGGTTAAGGAGAAGACAATAGCCGTTAGGTCTAGTGGCCAGGAGGGGGGCCCAGCCCTCCTCTCCAGTGTGTGGAGAACACAAAGACGACTGGGCGATGGGTGGCTCAAGTGGGAGACGTCAGACCCTCGACTGGGAACGCCCAGCTCCAAGCCCATCTCCACTGAGCCCTCCAGCTCCTGATTACCACCCGCCCCGCCCCCACCCCATGAGCCATCACCCACCATTATTTCTCATACAAACACCAGAGTCCTCAGTGACACCAATACCATGTAGTCCCCAGGAACACCTGTGGTCCCTCCACCACACACACACACACACACA